TGCAAAATATTGTAACCACGTTCTTCAGTCTACCACAATCATACATTTTTGTCTTTATATTATTGCTAGCAATGGTACTAGTATTGATAGTATTAAGAGACACAGAGTAATGTGGAGCTAAATATCACTAACTCCAGAGCAAGATGTCCTTGAGTTCAAACCCCAGCTCTACTACTTACTAGCCGTGCAAACTTGGGCAAATTACTTAATATTTTTGTGCCTCAATTTTCTTATCTGTAAAATAGGGATCATCGTAATAGTATTTACCAATAAGGCTATTAAGAGGATTAAATTATTGAATATTATAAAATGCTTAGAACAGTACCTGGCTCATAGTAAGCACTATATGTGTCAAACATAGTTTCTACACTCTGTAATCTTAGAATTAATCAATACACTAATAAAGTACCTTGAGATAATTAAGTACTTCCTGCATATTTCATGATTAAATCTAGCAATGTTCAGAAGTGTCATTGTTTCAGATTAGTTCAACGTCTGTATTAGGAATGGATTTGACACCATCTCATTTCCCTTCACCTTCCTTCCCTGGAAGTTAACCTCGAATATTCTTTCTCCCTCTCCCTTCCATAGTCAATCAGTTTCTAAATACTATCCATTGCCTTAAACTATCTTTTTTCATTTATCCCTTTGCCACCACCTTGGTTCAGATGTTCATTGCCTCATACATACAACATTACACTGACCTCCCTGTCAATAAGACAGCTATCCTTTGTCTTGGTTAAGATGGTCTCAAACACAAAACCTGAGACCAGGCCTTAGGTACTGATAATCTGTTTGGGATGTGATCATAGGAATTAGTATCTAGGGAATACGTTGCTAATGTGTGCACCAGGGCTCAATTCCACTGGGAACTCGAAGAATCTTAGAGAATAATCCACATAAAAGATGGGAAGGTGCATTATCCATGAACTTCCATCCCCCATGGATAGACTAGGAGCTCTAAAACTCTCCCACTCCATCTCTCTCTATGACTTCTGTGTTACGCTTGTGAGGAAACTCTGCAACAAACAAAAGTTTGGGGGGCAAATGCATTGAGATAGGATGCTAGAAGCACTTGGTGAATTTGAGCTCACAAGATGAGACTGAAATCACAAGTGAGTTGAGGGGATGTAATGCATTTGCCAGAAGCATCTGCTATATCCAGATCTAACTGCTTTCCTGTCCCCAGAATAAACCTTCTAAAATCTAAATCTGACCTCAGCACACTCAACCTCCTGAAGATGTCCATGTGTTAATCTCTGGGGACCTATGAATGTGTTATGTTACATACCAAAAGGGACGCTGCAGTTATAACTAAGGCTAAGGACTCTAAAACAGGGATATCATCCTGGATCATCTGAGTGGGCTCAAGGTAATCAGCTGGGTCCTTAAAAAGAGAAAACCAGTGGGGCGGCCCAGTGGCCTAGTGGTTAAGTTCGCATGCTCTGCTTCAGTGGCCTGGAGTTGGCTGGTCCCAAGCGCAGACCTACACACCACTCATCAAGCCATGCTGTGTTAGCATCCCACATACAAAATAGAGGAAGATTGGCACAGATGCTAGCTTAGGGACAATCTTCCCCAAGCAAAAAGAGGAAGATTGGCGCCAGATATTAGCTCAGGGCCAGTCTTCCTCACAAAACCAAAAAAGAGAGAGAGAGAAAACCAGACTTCTGGTTTTTGGTTTCTCGTGTAAGGAGCTTGGACGTGCCCCTCTGCCCTCATAACAAGGAAGAAGATGAACAGGCTGAAAAATCAACAACTCTTCTTAGATCCATAAGACAGGAGAAGACAGAACAAACTGCTGCCCCCGTGATTAGAAAGAGAGACAGCCCAACACAGGGAGTGTATGCTTACCGAAACAGACTCACAAGCATAAACTGTCTAAGGAACCAGTGCCAGAGCAAGGAAACCTGAACTATAATTGATGAATTGCTGGAGATTCAGTGCAGACAAGTGTGACAATTAAAAACTTCAGGGGTATCCAGCCAGAGAGAGGCACCCACAACATTGTGAGATTTGCCTCCTGGAGCTCAACAAGATTTCTACAGTAAATATTAGAGAAAAATCCACTTGGGCTTCCAGCAGGGGGACAAGAAAAGGAACCATTTTGAAATATTTCAGTGCACTCCATTCTTCTTAGGAGGGCCTGCCCTCAGAGGAAGATAGTTAACCAGAGACCAAGCTGCAGGAGTATTATCAGAGCCTAAGTGATCTGGGGAAAGGAAATGCCAACTCTAACCCGTTCTAGCTATTCTGTCCCACCTAAGAGGGAGAAAAAAACTGAGAAACACTTGTAAAGTTCACAGTTCAGGGGCAAAGACTAGCTAAATGACTGAAGTCTTGTCATAGGATTATAGGATGCTTCCCCTCCCCCACACTTCCCCACCACATTACTAATGCTTATTTTCAGCAGTTCCTTTTACCTGGTCCATCATGTCCAGCCACCAAGAAAAAATTACAAGGCATACAAAAAGGCAAAAAAGCAACTTGAAGAGACACAGCAAGCATCAGAACCGGACATGGCAAGGAGGTTGGAATTATCAGATCAGGAATTTAAAACAACTAATTAATATGCTAAGGACTCTAATAGGTGAAGTGGACAGCATGGAAGAACAAAAGGGCAACGTAAGCAGAAAGATGCAAATCCTAAGAAAGAACCAAAAAGAAATGCTAGAGATAAAAAACACTGTAACAGAAATGAATGTCTTTGACAGGCTTATTAGTAGACTGGACACAGCTGAGGAAAAAATCTCTGAGCTAGAGGATAGAATAGAATCCTTGAAAACCAAAAAGCAAAGAGAACAAAGAGTGAAAAAAAAAAAACAGAACAGAATGTCCAAGGACTGTGAGACAACTATGAAAGGTGTAACACATAATGGCCCTCTGAAAGACCATATCAAGAGAATTGGAAGACTAGCCACAGACTGAGAGAAGATATTTGCAGAAGATACATGTGATAGAGGACTGTTATCCAAAACATACAAAGAACTCTTAAAATTCAACAATAAGGAAAACAATCTGATTTTAAAATGTGCCAAAGACCTTAACAGACGCCTCATCGAAGAAGATGTACAGATGGCAAATAGGCATATGAAAAGATGCTTGACATCATATATCATCAGGGAAATGCAAATTAAAACAATGATGAGATATCACTACCCACTTATTAGAATGGCCAAGATCCAGAACACTGACAACGAAAACAAATGCTGGTGAGACTGTGGATCAACAGAAACTCGCATTCAATGTGAATGTAAATGCAAAATGGTACAGCTATTTTGGAAGACAGTTTAGAGGTTTCTTATAAATCTAAACATACTCTTACCACACAATCCAACAATTGCACTCCTTGGTATTTACCCAAAGGAGTTGAAAATTTATGTCACACAAAAACCTGCACATGCATGTTCATAGCAGCTTTATTCATAACTGCCAAACTTGGACACAACCAAGATGCCCTCAGTGGGTGAATGGATAAATAAACTGTGGTACTTAACAGACAATGAAATGTTATTCAATGCTAAAAAGCAATGAGCTATCAAGCCATGAAAAGACATGGAGTAAACTTAAATTCACGTTACTAAGTGAAAGAAGCAAATCTGAAAAGGCTACACACTGAATGATTCTAACTATATGACATCTAGAAAAGGCAAAATTATGGAGACAATAAAAAGATCAGTAGTTAAGAGTGGTGTAGTAGTAGTTGGGAGTCAGGGGAGAGATGTATAGACAGAGCAGAGAGGAGTTTTAGGGCAGTGAAAACACTCCATATGATATTATAATGATACATGTATGTCCTGATACATTTTTCCAGACCTGTAGAATGTACAACACCAAGAGTGATCCCTAAAGTAAACTACGGACTTTGGGTGATTATGATATGTCAGTGTAATTTTATCCTTGGTAAAGAATAAAAAAATGTACCATTCTGGTGAGTGATGTTAGTAATGAGGGAGGCTATGCATGTGTGGGGGCAAGGGGTATATGAGAAATCTCTGTACTTTCTTCTCATTTTGTTCTAAATCTAAAATTGCTCTAAAAAAATTAAATTAAAAAAAAAAATGGAAAACTTTCTCTAGCTACAAAAAGGGATTTCGCAGGAAGAAAGATGCAGCAGAAAGTGAAGTCGGATTACAAGAGTGAGAGGATTTGATGTGCCATTGCTGGTTCCAAGATAAAGAGAGCCATGTACCAGAACTGGAGAGAGGTCTCTAGGAACTGTTGGTGGCCTCAAGTACCAGCCAGCAAGAAACAGTTATGTCAATTGTAGAGCTGTGAAGAACTGGATTCTTCCAACAACCTGAATGAACTTAGAAGCAGATTCATCCCAGAGTCTCCTGATAAGAGGCCAGACAGTCAACATCTTGATTTTGGGCTTGTAAAGCCTGGGTCAGATAAACCAGTCGAGCCAATTGGGAGTCTTGACTCACAAAGCTGTGAGATATGATAGTGTCCCCTGTTCCATGGAGGAAATATTCCAAGACCCCCAGTGGATGCCTAAAACCACGGATAGTACTGAACCCTATATATACTATGGTTTTTCCTATACATAATAACTATGATAAAGTTTAATTTATAAATTAGGCACAATAAGAGATTAAGAATAATAACTAATTATAGAACAACTATAACAATATACTGTAAAAAAAAAGTTAACGTAGATTTTAGCAACCTCAGCATATAATTTTTTTCTTTCTTTATTAAGTTGACAACGTTCACCTTTTCAGTTAAAAGAAGCACTTTACAGCTTCTTTTTGGCATATGCGAATTGCCTGCATCAATAGTCTTACGCTTTGGGGCCATTATTAAGTAAAACAAGGGTTACTTGAACACAAGCACTGCGATATGTGATACAGAGACAGCTTATCTGATAACCAAGCTGGTTACTAATTGACTAACAGGTAGGTAGTACATATATAGCACGGATACGCTGGACAAAGGGATGATTCATGTCCCAGGTGGGTTGGAGTGGGATGGTGAGAGATTTTTATCCTGCTACTCAGAGCACACAATTTAAATCTTATGAATGGTTTATTTCTAGGATTTTCCATGTAATATTTTTGGACTGCGATTGGCCATGGGTGACTAAAACAATGGAAAGCAAAGCCGTGGATAAGGGGACTATTGTGATAAATTTGTGTTGTTTTATCCGGCCAAATTTGTGGTATTTTCTTATGGCGGCAATACACAACTAAAACAATGTACAGAACTTTTCAATGAGTCCTCATCACTTTCACTGGATAATGACCGAATTCCTTAGCAGAGTATTTGGTCTCTACGTCACCTAGACCTCAGTGGTTGCTCCGGCCATCCCCCAGAGGCATTTAGGTCAAACAATATCAAGTACTTTCAAGATGCCCACTCGTCTGTCCATGCCATCTCATCATGCTGTTTTTTTTTTTAATAGCACCTCAGCTTTTGAAACATTCTGTTCTCTTTGCCCTAAACTACTATGTCTTTCCTGCCTGATAGCCTTCTTTTCAAACTTGGAAAGAAATCTCCCCTAAAAGAGAAAGCAAAGAAAAGCTTTTCAGACACAGGAAACAACAAAGAAATTAAAGCAAGAGAATGTAGAGCTGAAACAACAAAATATATGGGGATTTAAATGCAATTAGAAAATCCTAAAGCATAAAGAGATAAGGCAGGCAAAGGAGGGAGAGAACTGATCTTGAATGATCATGTATGCAATGGTACAGGGTTAGTACTCTAATCTGTCATTTGAGAGGATCTACTGAAGGACATTTGGCAGAGGAATTACATAGTTAGATTTGAGGCTTTTTTTGTTGTTCTTTAGAGTGGTCTAAAGCAGTGTAAAGAAGGCATTTGAAAAAGCCATAATGAATGTAATCCATGAAGTCAATTGAAACGATACACATGTGAAAGAGGTTTGTGACATAAGTGTTGGTGGAGACAATAATACCTAAGAAACATTTGGTTTAGTATGTTCACCAATAAAAATTAATGTTACACAAACCATTTGAATGAATCTCAAAAATATGTCGAACAAAAGTCTACACACCATATGGTTCTATTTATATTAAGTTCAAGAACAGGTAAAACTAAATTGTGGTGACAGGACTCAGATGAACACTTGCCTTGGGAGGCAAAATGGAACAAACTGTACCTTAAATTTTATTTTATAAATTTTATAAAATTATACCTCAATAGAGTTGATTAAATAATTTGGAGGCAAAATTAGCAAAAAAACAGGTTTCAGGGGTAAGGAGAGAAGATATCCAAACAGTGAAGCCAAGAACTTCAGGCTTCTGACTTGGGTATAGGAACCTCAGGCTGTCACAAATTGAGAGGGGGAATCCATAGGTGGAGTAGGACTAAGAAAGAAGTGAGCATGGTGAGTTCATTTTGCAATATTCAGTCTGAGGTAGGTATGAAACAGCCAAGTAGACCTGTTTGTATTTTTAAGCTCAAAGTCCAGAATAAAACATAGGAGTTTATGTTTCTGTTATCATTTTTCTATTATGAATGTGCTTTAATTTGTTTATATTTTAACTGGTTATTGCTGATATACAGGAAAGCCATTCATGTTTATATATTAATTCTGTAACTTGCCACATTACTAAACTCTCTAAATTCTAGTAGTTTATAAATCATTCTTGCGGATTTTCTATGTAGACGAGCATAGTATCTGCAAAAAATGAAATTATTTTATCATTCTCAGCAATTAGTTTCTTGTTTGGTGTCTTCATTCTCTCTGAAGTCACTTCCAGCGCAATGATAGTGGATGGAGGTGAGAGAGGAAGGCCCTGATCTGGCTCTGACATGAGATTTTCTTTGCAATCCATTGGCTCTTTTCCTGTTCTGGTCTTCAATCAGTGTGGTGTAATCTTCATTAGCATTAGACACACACAAAAATAGACTTAAGTGTTAATAATGCCAGTCAATAGTGATGTGATCTTGGACAAGTTGTTTAACCTCTGTGAGACTAAGTTTCCATCATTGTCAATCGAGAAAATAATAATACTTTGCATGTATATTGTTGTGAAAAGAAAGTAATAAACAATGCAATACCACCTGTGGCAACTTGTTTGAAATAATATCCATAAATATTCCGTCTTTATATTCTCACTTCTTTACAATATGGCTATACGGCAACACCCATGAAGGACTCAAGTCTGTTTTCTCTGTTTTTGAATTTGAATGGTCTTATGCCTTGAGGTGACCGTTAGAATGCAGTGCAAATGATGATATCAGTACCATGATCTTAGGCCTCGAAAGGTTGAAGAAATCAAGGAAACTTAAGTTTTAGATGTTATGAATCACTTTGTTTTATATATGTCTCTCGCATAGAGCATATAGTTGGTATTTATTTGTGAGTTGAATTGGAAATCTTTCCTCTAATAGTTAAGTTTCTCCACGTTTATTTATATGACTGTTGTACTTGTTAGATTTTGTTATAGTTACTATTTGTAGTATCATACATTTGATGAATTTTATCAACTATGTGATGAATGCTCTTTTTTCTTTAAATTTATTTGGTATTTAGAAATATTGGTATTTTTGATCCAATGTTTATCTTCATAATTATAATTTTTTAAGCCTTTAATCTCTGTCTTTTTTTCTGTACAGTTTTACTCTCTGCCACTTATTTTCTCCTTTGATTCCTCCCTATTAGTTTTTCATCATTCATTGAATATACATTTTTTATTCCTTGCTCCATTTTTTCATCCCATTTTATACTTGTATTATTTCTACTCTGTCAGAAAATGTAATATATATACTATATGTAATGCACAAATCATACACTATATGTATCACATAAATCATATACTATATATAAATTTTAGATAGGTATATAAAATTCTTTGGCCCTTGCTCCCATAGCTAAGTGCTCACCACTAATCCTCAGTGTTTACTCAGTCATTTCTTGTCTAGTCTAGGAGTTGGTACACTCTCACAGATCCAATCAGACATGCATCCTGTTTAAGTATAGCCCTTGAGCAAAAAATGTTTCTTACAATTTTAAACAGTAGTTTAAATAGGAAAAAAAAAAAGAAGAAAATGTGACAGAAGCAGAGTGAACCAACAAAGCCTAAAGTATTTATATTTGTCATCTGTCTCTTTCAACAAAAAAGTTTTCTGATCCCTGCTCTAGCCAACTCCAAAAGAAGAGCTAATGAGTACACTATTCCCTGGGTTTTTGAATGCTTAAAACAGTATTTAAACAGCTTTGTCAATTATCTTATACTATCAAATAATAATAGACACACACATCTTGTTGGTTCTGTTTCTCTGGAGAACCCTAACTAATATCTTAAGAATTCTTCTTCATTTTTAAAGTCTGAGTTACTAGGGTCTATGTTAGAGTAGGTAATTATACTTCATTTCCTGAGATATCTAGATTTAGGTCTTTTATAGATTGTAGTTTCAAATATCAGTTGTATTCCATGGTTTTTATTTTCTTCTCCTGGGATTTCAAGTCTATGTAATTTAGATCTTCTTTGCCTGTCTTCCAATTAAATGAGTTTATACTTTTTATTTCTTCCTCTATCTCATTTTTATTCTCTTGATTGTTTTGCTGCACTTTTCCAATGCCCTTTATTAAATTTTAACTTGGATTAATTTTTGTTTGACCACAGTTATTTGAGTTTCATTTCTAATATGACTTTATCTTTTATTTTTCTTTTTTTACTGAGGTCAGTCAAATTTGTTTCATATCTTCTCCTTGTTCTGTTTTATTCTTTTTCTGTCCATTTAGTTTTTGAATTTCTGATTCGAGTTATTTACTCATATCTCCAAATGCTTATTTATAGATATTCAGTTTGGAGTGTTGTGTTACAGTTAACTTATACTTTTACAATATTTTTGTTTAGGTAATTATCTTTAAAGTTTTTATTCTCATTTTCTATTTTTTTCTTACTAGTTTTGTATAGAAAAAGCTTCCTGTAGCTCCCCATTTAGTAGACATTTCTGATGGTTTTGGCTGTCTTCCACTTACATTGAAAGCTTGAGATATGTGTGGTTTTCTTCTAGATCAAAATCTTTGAGTATTTATTAGGAAATTTAGTTTTATAGGACTACCATTACCTCGACTAGCTCAGAAGTCTCCTTTCATTTTTGAAAGATATTTTTTCTGAATGTAGAATTCTAGATTGACAGTTTTTGTTGTTATTTCATTTTGTTGTTTATTTCACTTTAGAGAGATTGTTCCTCTATCTTCTGGTCTCCATTGTGTCTGATGAGAATTCACTGATCATTTATATCATCGTTCCTTATATTTAATATGACTTTTCCCTAACTGCTTTTGATGTTTTCCCTTAATCTCTGGGTCTTAAAAGTTTGGTTACAATATGACTAGGTGTTGTTTTCTTTTTAATTAACATACTTGATGCTTGCTTCACTTCCTAAATCTTTGGGATACTGTTAATTAATTATTAAATTTGGAAATTTTTCAGACAGTAATTTTTCAAATATTTTTTGTGCATGGTTGTCTCTCGTCTCTTTTTGGAACTCTAATCGCAATACGCCAATACAAGCTACTCCCCTTTTACAAAAAAGAATATTCTCTTTCATTTGATTTTTCTTTTTGTTTGGAATAGCTTTATTGAGATATAATTCATATACCATACAATTTACCCATTTAAACTGTACAGTTCAATGTCTTATAGAATATTCACAGAATAGTGCAATAATCTGCTCAATCTATTTTAGAACATTTTCATTGCCCCAAAAAGAAACCCCATACTCTTTAGCTCTCCCCACTTCTCTCATTGCTTCTAGCTCTAGGCAACCACTAATCTACTTTCTGTCTCTATAGATCTGCTTATTCTGGATATTTCATATAAATGGAATTATATAATATGTTGTCTTTTGTCATTGGCTTCTTTCACTCACTATAATGTCATAGTTGATCCATGTTGTAGCATATATCAGTACTTCATTCCTTTTTATTGCCAAATAATATTCCATTGTATGGATATGCCATATTTTGTTTAAACATTCATCAGCTGATGGACATTTGGATTGTTTCTCCCTTTCGACTATCATGATCCTTGAATTTTAATGTAAAAAGAAAATCCTCTGGCAGGATTTTCACATTAAACTTCCAGGAATGTATGAAACT